TCTAGATAGTAATGAGGCTCTTAATATAACTAAGTCATTTTTTAATAGAATAACTGGTAAATACGAAGTAGTCATTTGTGAAGAGTTACAACAAGTTTCTAATCACTGTCGTAATTATCAACCACATAGAAAACAGTCTCAACATTTGCCACAAACCATATTTGCGTTCTCTAAACAAAAAATATAGGCATACATTTTTTACATGCATATTTGGAGTATCCAATTTTTTTAGATTTCAGCATTTGAAGCTCCTCTTTGTTTGTCCTTCCTGACAAGTGTTAGGTGAGCTGGGTTTTTAAGATTAAGGTTTAAATTTGGATAGTCCCTGCTGTAGTTCAATAGGCATTCCAAATGTTTTAGAAGCTCGCCTTTGAAGTTGTTGTAAACACAACTCGTGAGATAAGGTTTTCAGAAACGTCCTTTTATTTTTATCAGTATTATTATTATTTTTATCAATATTATTATTATATTTATAATACTTATTATAATTAAGTAGAATATTAAAAAAATCCCCAAAAATACAATTTCACATGACAAGGTTCAACTCACCCTACAGATTACGAACATACGACCAGTCGTTAGCAAACCGGTAACAATACTGTTTTTTTGTTTATTTGTCGCGTGACGGTAATTAGAGAAACTACTTGAGCCCCTACACCGCCTCATTCAAAAGTATGAATTTGACAAAAGAAAAACGCATCACTTCATCTCTCAGATTATATGCGCCCGACGAAAGGTTAAATGTACCATTCTCGTAAAAATTGATAGTACGACAAAGAACGTTTGCATTGGTATGAATATTTTTGACGAAATTTACACCAACCCTTCCAAAGATCAACCCAAAAAAACACATTTTCCCTTTAAAACAATAGTCTTTACTTGATGTAGGTATTAACAAGAGATATATAAATAGAAATATTGTAAGAAACAAATAAAGCGTTGATTATATTATATTTATGACACTTGAACACCCTGTATGTTTGCCGGCGTTTCCTGCTTGTTAATCGAAGATTCGAACTGATTTTCCATTTTGTTAGTCGCTTTTGTTCACGTTCGAAAACTCGAAATTGCACAATGGGTGACAACTAAATTGAATCAGTTCGCAGAAACTATCGTGAAAGCCGTCACATAAGTGCTGTCTGCACCTACTGTAAAAGTTCACAATTGACCTACCCGCTTGATGCTCACTTTAATTTCCTCGATTTTCTAAAAATTTCCTAAATCGTTTAATTATACTCATCAGCATACATGCGAGTGGAAATTTCGCCAGTAGCGTATCCTCAAAAAGTGCAGAGCTGCAAGTTATGTTTAGTTAAAAGCTGAAAAATATTTACTCGTTTTTCTAATAATTGCACTTCTTAAAATACCTAAACCCGTATGTGCATCAATGTCGTCGCATCGAGAGAAATNACTTATAAGTATATAATATTATGTTGTATTATGTTTCTTGTTTTCGTTTTATCTAATAATGTAACAGCTATTACTTTAATGTGGCAAGAACTCTAATAATTAATGATTGCTCCCTATATTAATAGAAATTAATAACGAAAATTGATGATATGGGCTTCCTAACGATGAATGTTCGATATTTTTTCACCCTCAAAATACCAACTAACGTTCCAACATTATATTTCTATTGGGGGGTGATTTTTGAACAAATTAAAGCTTTCATTACTAACACCTACCGAAAATACCGAGATCGATCGCCAACGTAAACGGTCCTTAAACACGATTTAAAAATAACACAATATAATAGGCACTTCAGTCTTAAAATTTCATTTTACTCTTTTTGTTTAAATAACTAGCGTTAGTCGGCTATTTTGAGACGTTATCAATCATGAACGAATATAAGAAAAAGCAGCAAACAGTGCAGAGATCCATCGAAGCGAATCAATCTAACGATCAATACTAAATGGATAACTTAATTAAAAACTGGTAATCAATAATTGTTTAGCGTTAGATAAAAACGCCGCTATTCTTTTTTCTAAATATGTATACGTATGGCAATTTTGATGGACTACACAATGGTTTTAAATATGTATACATTAAAACAAAATTACTTTAAAAATAATTCGAGACAAAATCGTAAAATTCATGATATAAAATTACCATTTATTAATGACGACATAAATAATGAGTTTGATGATGATTGAAATGTTTTGAACTTAATGTGACATAATATTATATAAATAAATATGTACTGATTATTAAAAAGTATAAAATATTTTATCTAATTCCGTCTTAACTTTTATAGTATTTAAAATCGTGAATAAAAGCGAATATTTGTGCTTTAAAACTCCTAATCACTCACTTGTAGATTACAAGGCAACAATTCCTTTTTTGTACTAATAGACGATTCGTTCATGATGTATAACATTAAAACATATTTCTCTTAATAATTCGATTGTCTAAGTACAAAGCAGGTTCCCTTAATCTGGCGGTAAATAACTGAACAATTTAAATTTGTTGCGAATATGTGGACGCACATCTTCCTTCTGAAATTAAAACAAACACCGACTTTTAGTAAAATATTTTTAAGAAAAGATAAACATACAGATTTTGAGCTATACATAAGACAACAGGAACAAAATCTAACTTTTAAATCGATTAGATACAAATTAATTTTTCTTTTTTATTTTTGATACTAAGCATATATTTAAATAAATAAAATACAAAGGGGAATAGACATTATTAATTGACTTCGGTATGATTCCCCGTTCTTTTTAAAAAATATAACTTTAATATTCTACAAAGACTGACTGCCATTCCGAAGCATTATTTCTAATTTAATAAAAAAATAATTGGAACTTACCATCTGTACCAAATCTTCTAAAAATGGAAGAAGTTTCAAAAGTTCAGAATCAGTTTGATCTACAAACCAACTTTCAATTGGGATACCATTATTCAACTGAAAAATATTTTTTTTTCGTATTACAACTGGAATACAAATCAAGAAATCAAATACAAATACTCACATGATATCCAAATGCCTGTGGTGAATTGTCAATGATAATGGTTTTGGACAAATCTCGTCCTAATATCGAAAGGTCCTTGATGTAATTTCCATTGACGCATATGCAGTGCTCCCTGAAGAGTCTATATTTAATCCACTTGCGTTCGGGGTCCAACAAATTTAGTAATTTATCGGCATAAACGCGTTTCGACGCAGTGAACAGGATGACCTCGAACAATTGCGATACTTTTTCAAGGAATTCGCGAAAAAAAGGACGCGTCCTAACGTATACAGTGTAAGAACAATCTTGAAACAAAACGGGAAAGTGAAAACTCGCATCAGGCAGTTCCTGGAGACTGCAATGAACCAAAGTTTCATCAAGATCTAAAACCTGAAATAGAAGCAATCTTATCTTAATTTTTGGATGAGAGGAATACTACTTTTATGCAACTTGAGAAAAATAAGGATTGGATAAAAACAAAAAAGAAGTTTGTAATGAAATAAAAATTACAATGAAGTCGCCAAAGCATTAGGTATTTAGGTTTAATATTTCTACATTCCCAAGATTGTCGTTAAAACTTTTTAAACAAATAAGCAACAATTTTGTTTACCAAACTAAATTCTGGACTGGATCTTGTCTTGAGTGGTAGTGCAGGACATTTGGATCTCATTTCAACAGTCAAAGGTGGCAAATGCTTGATAAAAACATATGGATCAAATGCTTCCCAAGTGTCTTCGACTTCCACATGTTCAGGATTCCCGTCCAGTCGCTCCTCTCCATTTACCTGAACTCTCGGGGATTGTTGGCTTGTAATAAGATTGTCGCTGGGCGGACTTTCGCAGTACTGTTGTATATTATAGTCATACTCAGCATTTATATGATTCATAGCTAAAAGGGCATTCGTTTTAGACATTTCTTCATCCAACAAAGTCGTGAAATCCGAATTACCGTTGAATTGATTAAAATCATTAGTTAATGCATAATCTTGGTAAGCAGAACTTTCTGGTGGATAATCATAGTACATGCTTTCGCAAAATTTATGCGAAAAAGCAGTATAGGTGTACTTAGATTTGTCAAAATCGATAACTCGCTTATCAGTAAGATCAATTTTGTCATATACTTCAATGCTCCTTATATTCTCAGCACAACTAATGTTAAGATTCGAGTCAATTTCGATTTTTGAATACTCTATTTCTTTTGGTAGGTCAACATTGGTGTTTTCTAAAGTAGTAAAGGTCTGACCATTGGAATTGATGCCCATAAAAGGATCACAACTAAGGTTCTCCTCGAATTTTATTTCGATACTTTTTTCAGACTCCATTTTTATCTCATTGGTTTTTTTTAAATCACGCAGTTCTGGAACCATTTGAGCTTCGTAATTCTCTTTGCAATTCTGTGTAACTCTCTTTGAGAGAAATCCATTAGGCTTTTGCATACATTTGCTGTTTGACTTTTTTTTTCTCAGCTTGCTGTAGTTCTTATACAGAGACAGAGCGATTTTCTTTGAGCATCCTTGTGACCATTCCTTCGTTTTCTTTAACGCCCTTTTAGCCTTTTTAATTTTACTTGTGCATAAAGAAAATGTGCGTAATTTGTTGCGCTTTTCACTTCTTAACCACATGATCCACTACAATATACATGGATTCTATATCTACCCTACACCTGTAAAAAATAAAAAACAAAAATTATACATACAGCGAATTCAAGAATATATTTGTTTTTATTTACATTTATACATATTCTTTTCGATAACTTTTTGCACACTCGCGCGCCCAATAATGCAACAATAAATAGGTAGTTTTATAAAATAGGAAATTATTTAATACCTACCCAGGTTTTGAAGACAATTTATTACTTATTATTTTATAAGAAAAATTTTTATAACAAAAAAAGATGTATTAGATACTCGTCCAAAAATAAAGTAAGTATTGAAAACCCCATGTAACTACAAAAAGAATGAAAAAACATCCCCTAAAAATGCGGATGAAACAGAATAGAAGAGAAGAAAAAAAGGTAGTGATATAAACAGACATAAAGATAAATTACATGTTTGTACCTCTACTAATAATAAACACGAGTATTAGATACAACAGAAAGTCATGTTACCTTTTAAAAAATAAAATTCATATTATTTTCAATTAAGTTTAGTTAGCTAAATACAAGGGGAATTAAAAATTGATAAGTACCTACATATACCTTTAATTTAAACAAGATTCTACTTTGAATCTTCGTAAATATTTGATGAAAAAGTCTATTAGATTAGATACGATACGATACATGTAATTAAAACTAATTGAAAAAGTAAAACTGTCAAACTTTTTGATTTATCTACTAAATTACAATATAAGGTAAATCCACAGTTACAATTAAACTATAGTGTATATGGCAAATTTATAACCACGTTATAATCTGTAAAAGCCATTTAAAATTTCTGAAGTTCTATTTATATTTATATATAGAACATTTTCGCTTTTAATAAATAGAATACACTTATATATACCTATTATTAATATGTAGAATTGAAAACACGCTTCCCGATATTGACACTTAAGTACATCACCACAAGGACGAATATCGCGTACGGCGAGAAAGCATAATACCTTCCCGCCTTGATTGCTTGTTTTGTTTTCTTCTAAAAAGAAGCGGTCTTTCAAAAAAATCAAAACAAAATTCCCCACACTTTTCAAACAATATTTGTTATCCAATTATCCATAAACACGAACTTCCACCACTAAAATATTACTTGAAATTTACACACAAAACTTCAAGATAATTAGCCTCATTTTGCAGTGTGCAGCCCTGAAAATATCATTAAAAATAAATTAACTTACCATAAGTTGGTGGAGAAATAACAACATCTCAATCGCTTCTTTTTCATTTCATTTTAAAAACGAAAAAAGCCGCAGTCACAACATCACATCAAAATGGCGTCCCACGCGCTTTTCTGTCTGATTTACTTCTATACGCAGGCGTAGAAAGCGTCACGGACGCTTCCAAGTAATAAATCAAGCAGAGCCGTAATAACTAGTTTTTTTTTCAGAACAAAATGTATGCATGATTAAAAAATACATTTATTATGATTTATATTATTTATTATAATGTTTCGTAATCCAGTATGTTAAAATAAAATTGTTTATTTACTTTCTTAGAAATACATTAAAATTCACAATATTTGTAATTTTTGTCGAGGTTGGTATGAAAACAGTACCACATAGGTATCGCCAACATAAGAAAAAAGTACAGTTTGATTTGATTACACTGCAAGTTTTTGCTTTAATAATATCATAAAAATGTTTTCTAATAACATTGTAGAAAATAGTTACGACCCTTTTCAAATGTATAAAAAGAAGCCCGAAACAGCCAGTCCTTTTAATTTTGTTGAACGCTCGAAGTAAGTAATTTAACCTTACTATATTCTAGATATTGAGCAGTGATTGTAAACTTTTCTTTATAAAATGTTTCAGAGCACCTGTAACTACAGGAACATCTGTCGTAGCAGTCTGTTTCAAAAATGGAGTAATTATTGCCGGTGATACATTGGGTTCATATGGATCTTTGGCAAGATTTCGAAACTGCCCAAGAATTATTAAAGTAAATGATAACATAATCTTAGGAGCTGGTGGAGACTATGGAGACTTCCAATATGTAAAAGACCTAATCGAACAAAAAGTGTAATGTAAACTTTTAATTGTTTAAATGTTAGAATAATGTCAATAAATTTCAGCATTGACGAGCAATGTTTGGATGATGGTTTTAGCCTTAAGCCAAAATCCCTATACTGCTGGTTAACCAGAATTATGTACAACAGACGTAGCAAGTTTGACCCGTTCTGGAATAATTTTGTTGTGGGTGGACTTCAGGTAACTCTTAATGTTTATAATTGTAATATTTTCAATTAAGTGTAGTATTTAGTAAGTATTTCTTACTTTTTCGCCAATTTCAGGATGGAGTACCCTTCCTTGGTACTGTAGATAAACTAGGAACTGCTTATTGTGATAAAATTGTCTGTACTGGTTATGGTGCTTACATTGCTATTCCACTATTGAGAGATGCATTTGAAAAGAACCCAAATCCAACAGAACAAGAAGCACGTGATTTAGTGGTGAAATGCATGGAAGTTCTGTTTTATCGAGATGCTAGGAGTTTTCCAAAATTTCAGCTGGCAGTTATTACAAAAGAAGGTGTCAGTATTGAAGGGCCACTGGACATTAAACAAAACTGGGAAGTTGCATATGTGACCCAGAATTAACTGTATTTCAATACTTATCAAATTTAAAAATAATCCTGTTTTTTTATATATTTCAATATGATTAAAAGAAACAATAAAGATTATAAGAATTCAGTGTTTTTTAAGAAAACAATTTGTAGTATTCGATTTGAATTAACAGAACTAAGTTTTTTATTTATCAAAAACGGAAATTTAAATAAAACGTTAATAAGTATATCAATTTTATGATTTTATTGTAATAAATTATTGTATAATTACATAAAAGTTAAAGAGCAATAAACACTGCCTAGTATTAGAAAACATTAAGTGTACAATAAGCATAAACTCAGTAAGCATTTTAGCTGCAACACAGCCTATTAATCAAGTATATGGATATATTTACAATCTATAAAATCAATAATAGCAAAAAAGGATCAAGATAATATAGCACACTTAACAGTTCTTAGCGTATTTGGCTTATAAAATTGTTACTTAAATTTGAAACCTTAAAAGTTAATACTTACTAAGTATGAAGATTACAAAATAATTTTTATTTAAATGCAGTCAGAATGAGTACAATTGTTTAAGCTTGTTAAAAACTACGTTTCGTTAATTAATATTAAACGGTAAATACAATTGGAGCACACGGTATTATCAAGACAATTTTATTAATAACCACGTTATTTTATTAAAAAAAAATGTATGCTTTGCACATACATGTGATAAAACTTATTTATTTAAGATTTATTAAAACTTTACTAATCACGTCCATACCCATAAAAAAAATATACAATTATAAATCTAAAAAAAAATTGTTAGTAAATCAAATTTTGCTTTCTCATAAATTACTATAATGATAATAGTAAGTTAAAAACTTAACACTTTACTTGAAATACAGTGCGCTCTTGACATGTGTCCTTAGAAATGTAAATTGTGCATTTAACAAAATTTCAATGTCTTTTGAGAATATAGAGTAAAAATATTAGCAGCGAAAGGTTCATGCATTTTTTTCGCAATTTGTTTTACTCGACAACATAGAGTGTGAAACCAACACTTTTATTTAGCAAGGAATAATACATCCACTAAAAATAAAGATTGATTATATTAAATGATCCACTCAATTAACTATCACATTTATTTCTTTTTTTATTTAACTGTATTTTCAATCAAACTCTGCAAACTGTCAACAAACAAAAATATTAACCATTATTCATTCTCATTAGGTATTACAAATTTTATTTTCTCTTTCTACAAAACTATGAAAGAAAAAGATGTAATGTAAAATGGCACAAATGATTGTTTTCAATTTTTAAAACTCTAAACAACTCGAACAACGAAAAACCTTTAGTGATGAACTATAGCAACAGACTGACCATAACATAGGTACAATCAGCGATAGGTTTTCTACATAAAATAGTTTGAATTTGTTTCAAAATACACTTATGTTTTATAACATTAAATATATGTAAAATAATTTTTCCTTTATTTTCATTAAACATTCATTTATTATGAGTGAGAAAAACTGTCTACGTACTTGGTCAGCAATTAAACTTTATTCAGATAAAACATGATGGTTTAGACCTTACTCGATACTAAAAAAATAAAACAGAATGCGAAACGTGAAAATAAAAACGTGAATAAATGCTGCGACTAATGAGGATAACGTTTAAGGATAGGTAATATTATTTTTTAAAATAGAACAATAATAAGAATATATCTTACACAAACGTTGCTATCATATGCTTACTACACAAAAATGTAATAATAACATGTATAAAAGAAACCGTTACCAAAGACTAGCTCCTGCCATTGGCAGTGTCACTGTTATTATTCGGGGCGGGGGCTGAAGGATTTGCTGATGAAATTTTCGGACTCGTTGGCACAGAAGAAGACTGCGCCTTCGTGATATATACGCGCAATAATTTGACTTTACTCCCCGGCAAACAGGCAATGTACGGGGCCAACCTTTCTTCCCCTACAGCTTTGTGCAGTGCCACCATACAAAAGACGGCACATTTTCGGATAGCACTCTCTTCATGATCATTAGCCTTCAAATGAAATTAGAATTTAAAAAAAATAAATAAATAATTTACAAAAAAAACAACAGTTAATTAGCGTTTGGTGAAAAAGAAAATTTAGTTAGAGATCTGAAACCTTTCAATTATAGTATTTTGATGATAACTGCATATTTATCATAAAAACATAAATAAAATTTTATGTACTTTAATAAGGCCGGGCATTATTTTTTCTAGATGTTCGTCAGTGACCTGGTCCGGATTCGTTTCAACCAGTTTCGTTAGCATTTTTATGGCACCCGTCAGTGTGGGTCCAATGCCCGTTTGAATCAACGGGCTAAGAACATTAACAACTGTATTAAATGGGAAAACGTTCATTGATGCTGCCGCAGTTTCTGCCATTTTCACAACCTACACAATGAAAGAAGATAACAATTATTCAAGTATAAAACTTACACTTTAACAACTTCTGTATTCAAATTTCATACCTCTCTTTTTTCTGAGCAATGGGCTTCTAAAATACGAAGTGTGAGTAGTTCTACAAATTGACTCCAGTACGGCTTGAATTCTTTGTTTTTAAATATTTCTGAGAATATTTGCAAAACGAGTACTTGAATGGAGTAATTTTTATTTTTCCAATTAACATTGTCCAGTAAAATCCGTAAAAGTTTCCTGAAATTAAAAATTATTAGGATTAGTCAAAAAGCAACAAACAAAATATAGCGCACTTACTTAAACATTTGTTTAATTATTTCCGTGTTTCCTGAATTTAATAAGATAATTAGTTGAGAAAGCAATTTTTGCTTCTCAGAATCGGGGGTTGGACTATCGACTGTACATGTCACAATTATTCTTTCTACTAATTCCCTATCTCCGAGTTCTTCTGAAACGTTAAAAATAAATATAAATTTATATGCAACAAAAATCTCAAATAATAAACTGATAATAAATTCTAAATGAATAGCTATCTTGATTTGTTAAAGACCAGTTTCTTACCTAAGCTATTGAATCCATTAGTTATTTTTTCATTAACGCCGTTCACCGTGCACGGTAAAGAATGAGATTCATTGGAAACAGCAAAATCGGGACTTATTTTTAGTTCTTCGATACGTTCCTCAAGTGCAGCAACATCGTTTCTGATATCACAACCAATAGACATTTGGGAAATCCCAGAATCTTGTGATGTTGTAACCCTTGTCCTATCTTATTTTTTAAGTAAATGTTAAATTGCATCCACAATAGAGCAAAATTTTACCAATACATCACCATTTATTATATCATGAAAGTATTATAAAAATGAATGCAATAAGAGAGAAAATACGAAATCATCAATTTTCATATAAAATTCTTTATTTTTATAATTTATCGTTATTTCTTTTCATTTCGAATGTTGACAAAGTATTTTGGAAATGATATGCTTTATCTCAACAATTAAAAACAAAAAACACAGAAAAGCAACAGTAAAATACTCACCTAGTGACTCATAGTTATAATTCTGTATTTCAGCCGTTGTTCTTCTCAAACTCCTGTATACATCCTCATGGTTCATGTCGTCTCCTCTTCCTGTTGGTGTAATCGGCGAGGACGTTTTAGGACTGTTGCCGATCATAGGACTTGCTGCCTCACTTCCTGACGAGCTCTTTCTAAGATGATTGTGAACTATATGTGATGCGATATCTTGCTGCTCTTTTGGGAGCTCGCTGAGTAGCATTGTTATTTGAGGAGTATTCCAGTTCCATACGGCCACCACGCAATTTCTTGCCGCGTTTCTAATTTCAGGCGATTTCATGTCTTGGGAGAACATGATTATTTTCTGAAGCGCCTGAAGAGTTGGAGATTTTGGAAGGAATTGAGTTTGTTCGCACGTATGACAAAGAGAAGTTAAAAATGACAAAGCTGCCACTTTCGTCTTGGTGTTGGGAGTCTGAGTAGAATCTACTAAGAACCGGCATATGCAAGAAAATTGCAAGCTTACCGGAAAACTTTTTCTTATTATCTCCAGAGTGTTGAGCAGTTTTGCAATGACAGAATTTAACAAATCAGTTCCCAATTTGTGAAAAATGCGTTGCAATAAAACGTAAAGCCAGTCATGCAAATCGTTCTTATGTACTTTAATAAGAATGTTTAATGAATCAATGAACACACTTAGGCTTTTCGTGTGGGAATCCATAAACATCTTTGTAAACATGTCGGTAAGCTGTTTCAGCTCTTGGGGCAACAAAACGGCTCCCGATTCCAAATAATGTCGAAGGGATATAAGTCCGTCTTTTCTCTCTTGCCAAACAGTACTTCTGCACATCGCAATTATTTCGCCAATATCCTATAAGACCATAACAATAACTCTTGTAAAAAAATTATCACAAAACAAAGAAATACGCCATATGCAACCAATCACAATTTAGTAAATACTAGTGTTTATATTATGAATGATAAGAATTAATAATAAATCGTTTCTCGCTACAAGAAGTTTTTCATTTATTGTGAATATTCGTGAAATGCAACGGTACAGAATAAACCAATAAAGAAAATTTCAACTGCAAAAGAAAATTAAAAATATGATAAAACAGCACAAAAAGAAGGCGTTTCGGTGCCGTAAGCGTTTTTTGAGGTGATCTAATAAAAATTACAACTACTGCCTGTATTTTTGTGCAAAGCTTAACGGTATACTTACACGGCAGGGTTCCCAAAAATCCCTGCTTGATAAACGCTGTTGTGAGCCATTCCAAGAGTACTAACACAAAAAACAAATTAGCACAAGCTTATGTGGTAAGTATTAAAGCGTTAAGAATTGATGAAGTACATAGAACAGAAAATATTAAAAACGAACTGAATCAACACATTTTTTTAGTAATGTATTATTAATTAATTAATAGTTAATATTTTCCATTTTGTGTTAATTTTTTATGAAGCACTTTTTCAAATGGCTAAAAACACGCATACAAAAATTTCATGCAATTGCAAAAAAACAGAGCAAAATAAAACGAGGTATTCGATTAATTATTAGTAAGTTCTAATTAGAAAAACCACTTTTTCAATACAGACACATCTACAAAACTAAAATACTTACGTCGATGGTTTTACGGTAAGAATCGAACGATCTCTCTGAGCAAACACTAGAAGTTTCCGATTCGTCCGATGGATTATCCATCGATCGTAAACTTTTTCTGGGACTGTGTAGTCTATGATTGTCTCCATCTGGTGCGTCATAGCACTGTAAGTAAAAATTTAATAAGCTTTTCATTTACAAAAAGAAGTGTTTCTTCGGGTACCAGCGCATCTGCAAGTGCATTTTCCGCTTCCCTACTTTGTTGAAGTATTTTCTGAGCCATAACAGGTCTAGAGGCGGGGCTAAGAGGCGGTCGGTCAGTCCTTGCCCTCAGTCTCGAGATACTGGAGCCTCTTGTAGGGCTACCCTCTCTGGAAGTATCTCTTGAACCGGTAGTCGAACGAGGAATACCAGACGATAAACGCCTAGGTCTTGGGGACTCTTCACTTCTGTTGTACAAGTAATGTATTCTAGAACTGGGCGAACCTGAACGGCTCGTTGCTAAAAATAAACATAAAATAATAACATAAATTCGCTGTTTAAAGAAAAAACATAGAGTTCACTAACGTTGTGAATGTGAAACGCCCGAGCTTCTACTTCGCCTTCTTCCAACTTGCTCAGGAGACTGTATAACAGATGAATCGGGTGTTCTTCGCGGACGAGCTATAAATTTACAAATAATTAAACTATTACATACCAGAAGTATACATATGGTATATACAATAAAATCAACAATATTTCAATATTTAAATTTATTTATGAGAATAAAAGAAGACAACTAGTAGAGTAAATATCATTAAAAAAGGCTACAAAATAAACACAATTTTGAGAAAATTTACACTGTTCTACTATTAATTATGTACTATTATCTTTCGATACTACAAACTTCAGGTTTCTAACATCACAGAAATATGTCAATCAAATCTTAAGTTAATATAACTTTCTACAAATCGTCATACAACTATGGCCATTTGTTTTTCTCAAAATAAAATAAAAATAATAATAATAATAATAGAAATAGTACCTTGTTGGGCAATTTCTCCCTCTAACAGACATGAAACAAAAGCAACGGTGTTAGAAATTAAGAGACGCCACACATAAAACAACACAAAACAAAGTTAACAAAAATATTCTGCTATTAAAAGACAGCAACAAGCTATTAGCAAAATATAATGAAGATAACAGTTAATTTTAGTACAGCACAAATAGAAACGCTGCAAGCATTTAAACCTAAAATATACTTTAAAAACTTACGGAGACTTGCAGTCCCTGAGGCTATCTTTTGCCTGGCCATTGCTGCATACTGAGCTCTCGCCTTTGCTCTCTGAGCAGCTTGAAGATCGATGGCAGAATTACTTCGAAATCCTTTCTTTCCTGTATCTGTGTTTAAAAAAGTACACATTTAAAATAAAGAATAATAACTTATCAGGATATACTTGTCATTATATAAAATTAATAACTAATTTTACTTTATTCTAATTTAAAAAAATAACAAGTATATACCTTTCTATACCATATAACAGACCAATTTTACAACATAAAATACTCACATAAGGTGCAAACTTGGCTTTTTTCATATTTTAAGCAAGTAATGCACCTTCTGCTTTCAAAAAACTATAAATCAAGTAACAGAAAGCACTACGCACAACAACCGAAAATAATAGTTTACTATGTAAGTATATATTACAAATAAAGATATACAAAATTAACCAAAAGCAGTTTGCTGTAAATAAACAAATATCTCTAAACACAAAAATGTATATTTCGGTGTACGTACTATCTCTTGCTAAGACAGGTATACTACTACGCTGTCTATAAGTGCGAGGCAATGAAGGGGTGCGTTGTAACCCACTAGAAAGATTTTCTGTGCTGCCTATTTTGTTGCAGCATTTACAAAAGACGTTCAAAAATTATTAGATTACTTTCCATTAACAGCAATATTAATTATACATTTTAAATATCTCAATAGTTGATAATTTTTTTCAAAAAAAAAAGTTTCTAGTACTTTTAATTTTAAAAAAGGAAATCAGTATTTCTGTGCAAGAAAAATACATAGATGTTAGATACATAATTAATAGCCTCTCCAGTTTACAAGTTCATCTACAAAACTACCAGTGCTACTGGATTATTCATTACCTACTGTATATATAGGTAAAGTTAGAATTTTTACTTACGGCGGGCGTTTTAAATATAAAGAAAACTACCTACAACTCATCTTGAAAAGTCATAAAGTCACGATAGACATTAAGATAAAACTATTTGTTTAAGACAGAAAAGAGAAAATAGGTTTTTAGAACAAATTTAAACAGAAAATACGTTGTGAGAAATGGTTTTAATGTTGGTTCATATAAACATATCAACATAAAATACAATAGTGCTACTTTTTTCGTGAGTCCAGTAGTAAATTAGTAATAAGAATATAACCAAAGTGTCAATTTTAAGTTGAAAAACGTTTAATAAATTTCCACAAAATAAAAATTTAGAATTTATATGTACAGAACTCAATAAATAAAAATCTGTATATTTTATGGTACGAATGACTAATAATACTTATGTCTCAGTTAAGTATTGATAATAATAATAATCTACTAATAAGAAATCTACTTCTATCTACAAACGGTTCTACAAAAAAAAAACATAACAAAAACAGGGAAATACTGTCATAAGAACTTTTATTAGGCCATCAATCAATTAACTCCCTACATTGATATAATCTCTAAATTTCTAAGTAAAATCTCAAAAAAATAAAACCATCATTAGTAACATCACCAACAAGAGGAACAATAGTATCAACAGTAACATTTTTTTTTTCAAGAACGACTAGCAGCTACTGGAAGCATATTGTTTATTTTAATTGATCGTTTTATCGATACCCTAAATTTGACACGATTATATTTTATTAAATAGGAAGATCTATTAATACAACATGCAGGTCAAAGTTCAAATGCGACTGACACGCAAAATTTCAGTTATCAAATTAATTTCATATAATAATTAAAATAGACGAAGTCATAAAACTATGAAGCTCACCTCTGAAAAGGTAAAATATTAACTTAACGCACAAGAGAACAGACAAGATATGAACAAAAAAAAAATAGAGAACACTCACCTGTTTTACTCGAAATCGAGGCAACTGGTCGTAACTGTCTTGGCACACGTGAAGCCACGGCTGCGGTTGATAAACTGTTCGTAGACGAACTGTTTGACATCGAGAGCTCGCCCTTAAGGGCACGCTGATAACTTGGCTCCAAGGACTGTAACAACACTTCCGCATGGTCGGGAAATCGTTCTCTAAACGCAACAAAAGCCCTACGAAAAGAGGATAAAATTAAATACAAGGTTAATAAAAATAAATTGCAAGTTAATACTAGAAACTTTTTAACATAAACAAATGCATCATTTTGCTTACTTTCTTGACAAATTTCGTGCATCTGGGTCAGCATCAGCAATACCCCTCTTAAGAGCATCCTGAAGAAGTCCTATGTGTCTTTCTAACGTGTGCACGTTCCAATGTTCCATAATCTGTTCTATAAATTCACAGCAACTTTTTCTTATTTCTTTACTTTTTGAATAAGATAAACTATTTGTTATAATCGGTATAAGACGTGGATTGTGGATGTACTGGAGTATAAAACGGACTGTAACGTGACCTGCAGTGGCTACCACCTAGATAAAAACAAAACGACAATAATCAACTTGTATAATTCGTAACTATTCCTCCAATATATGTATCAATGTAAAGCGAAACATTGTATGATTATGTAAAGCAATAAAAAGGGTTTTCGCCCCTTCAGTTTGATTGATTTTTTTTTTAACAATATTTGTTGATTCCAATTTGTGAAACATCATTGACAATACTATGTAAGTATGTACATTTAATCAAATATAATGGAAGAACCATCAGTAAAAAAGTCAATTGAAAGTAATAAACAAACGTGATTGAAAAATAAAAGATGTATACCTTTGCAGAATTCTGTATTAGGTTGATTAAACTGACCATCAAGCATTCAGCAGTATGTTCGAACTTATTACCCAATTGCTGGGCCAAGTAAGCTATACTGATACAGGCTTCACGAACAACTTGTGACCTCAAGTCTTTTATCGAAGCCTCCAAGGGCGGCTCCATTGATCTTAATTGAACGTAAAAGTCATCGAAATTTGCTGCTCCTGCTTTAACTAAAGCCCTAAGCTTCTTCAACTGCAACAAAACACTGTTCAATGAAATTAACACTGTTTGAAAGTTATGTTTAGTTTAAAACTACTGTTTCGGCCACGATCACGACTTTTTTAAACAAATAACTACAAATATTAAATCAACTTACACATTCTACTCTTTTATTCCATTCCTTGTTAGGATCACCCACAGTTTCCTGTATAGTTTTCATATGGTCTAAAATATCTCTTATTGAGAATATCTGAAGAGTAGGTACATCATCGAATAGCTTAGAGAAAACTTCTTCATCGACGCCTCCAGCTAGATCCGAAAAAAAAAAAAACATTTCGGTTAAAAAAAAGCAAAGTTACCGCCGTGATGTTTTTATTTCTTTTAACGACTTTTTAATTGAAGTAATAAATTACCCTTTAAATGCCCTTTCCGAATACAAATTTTCCCAGATGTATCTTTTAGCTTTATTAAGTTATTAATTGCTTAAACATTTTGGCAAAAAAAGTTTTTCTCTTGTTTAAAGCAATTTTCTGTAAAAATGTTTATACAATTAAAAACTTATTAAATCTGATAGATACGGCTAGGGCAATTCAATATTCGGAAATGGCATTTAAACGGCAATTTTTTAACCTATCTCACCTTAACTAAAGTAAATTAAAAAAAAAAAATAATTTCGCGGCGCTAACTTCGCCTTACTCAAAAGGTATAGAAACACAGTCATAGGGAATTTACGAGAAGCATTAAAATGTATTATATACCAGAATTGGAACTGCTGGAAGATTTTGCTGGGGCGGACACTATTACTCTTTTAGAGGCGCCTAGTAAGCCTGCTTTTTTCACAGGAATAGCAGGTTTAGCCATCACTGCCACATCAGGTTCGTCGTTGAAATCTAAACGAAAACAACATTTTCATTTCTTCGCAACTGTATCCTATTATTATTACTTTTCTCTTAATTAAAATATTTACTTTTAAAAAACTAGAATTATTCAAAAATATATTAAAAAAAAAAACTAAAATAAACTTACTATACATTATAGTGGAAGCAGTGGGAAGAAGATCACCAGCTTTTCTCACTTCGTCAAACCTGGCTAAAAGGGCAGGCAATCGGGACGGTGGTACTAGATTGCGCTTCTGCAAATCTATTCTCAATTTTTCTCCCACGTGTTTGTACAAGTCTACCAAAGTAATAAAAGCAGTATCCCGTACAGGAGAAGTAGGATCAGACAATAGTTTCACTATTTGAGGAATGAATTTGCTTAATGTGACAGACTGAGCGCCGTGCCTGTTAAAATACATATTAAACATGAATTTATACGGCAAAAATATACATATCATACTCAATAATTAGATCAAAGTGACATATCTTTCAAATGATTAGTTACATATTATAAAATTTTGAACTTACTCATTCAATGTATTCACTAGACACCTTAGCGTCTCTTCGCGGATTTTGGCGTTTTTATGTGTAAAACCTGGAGTAAGTCTTTCAAGGAGTGCTTGGGGAGTTAATACGTTACGTTCCAATAATTTCAATATCAAAAGCTGCGCCTTTTCTCTGACTGTGTCCTTTGCGTCACCTAGTCTGTCTATAACCGCTGGAAAAACTGTTTGCAAGTAGGGCTTAAAATCATGACCCAGACGGTCTATCAGGAATGTCATTATTTCAATTCCATTACTGGAAACCTATAAAACAATAGTAAGAAAGAAAATGAAGAATATANGCACTACAACAACTTGAACATTTGCCACTTTTGGAGGTAAGACAAGACCTTGATTATCCGCATGAATCATAATCATGACGCCTAAAAATTACGGGATTTAATTAATAAACGAGAAGGCAGTTTGAAATTTATTTACCTATGGTTCTAGTGGTAAATCCCCAAGAAGATTGATACACAAACTTCTTTTCTTGCGTTTCAGGGTCTTCATAAATAATATCAAACATTTTCGAAAAGTTCTGACCCAAGAAATGCGATGTAGCTCCTTGGATGCCCTTGCCACTCGCGGAAATAAATGCTTCTACTGTTAAGGTGTAATCTCCACCAGCAAATTTCTCTTTTACCGTTTTTTTACCAGGAATAACCGGGATAGCAAGAAGTTCCGTGTAAATTTGTGCATAAAGATCTAAATACATTTTAATTTAATATTTAGCAAATACAATTCATTAAATAACGTAAATAACTTACCTAAAATACATTTAACATATTACTAATTATAACACCCTTGTTTTACTATTTACAATACATTTGCAAGTTTGCCAGTTTTAAATAAACTTTAAGTTGCTTTTATTATTATATAAAAATAGCTACAAACAATCCACGAAGATAGGAGACTCCAATTTTTAATGAAAATTAATCCAAAGTAGTAAACATCAAATTAAATTAGTTAGAGCATTAACATATAGGTTTGGAAGGCCGAATCAACAAAGATGTCACAAATTATTATGTACGTCAGTCGTTATGTTTAAAGGTGGTCCTGCAAGGTCAAACTATCATTTAATATTATTGAAACAATTACCAATAAATTAAAGAATGTAATTACAGGATTAAAACGATTTTACATTAAAGTAATCACATTCCTCAGAATTTGCTTACTCTAGTTAATTCGAGATCATTTTGCAAATATTCTAAGATAGTTACATAAATACAATAAAAACATTCTATAAATAGAATTTTGTCATAGTGATAACTAATATTGTACAAACATTTTTATAACAATAAATACAATGCTCAACGTCGAATTATTTTAATACTTGACGAAAAAGTCTGGGACTCATATTTTATATATTTATAGAAAGTACACGTTTTCCTCATAAATGAAATGACAAACATAAATAAATTACAAATAACTTTTCCTTCTCATAACAGTTTATGAGTTAAAATTTTCAGACGCATGCATTCACGCAGGCAAAGACAAATAAATTATTACATCATTTTTCATCAACTACAGGTGCTAAATAAAAAAACACCAAACAACATCAACAGAGATTATCAATTCGGAACGAATTGTGTAAGTCTTCGGAAAACAAACTTGAACATCAATAAATGTTTATGTACCGCACTCGTATAAACACTGCCTGAATTTTAGTGGCATCAGCAGATTTAGAGACAATCTAAAAATATCCTTCTATTTGAGTCCTCAAAATGTAAGAAAATAAAAACAAAGTGCATTTCACCCGATGACGACGCCGGTTACTGCATAATTAGATTTCTAAATTTAATAATCATCAGGTTTACAGACACAGTAGTACTTACAAAATTCATAAAGACTTATAGAAAATCCATAAAATTAATAAAAAATTGCCAATACATTTCATAATAATTTATGTAACAGGCGAATAACAAACTAGTTTGCATTTTTTCCAATCACTTTCTATCGTTTGCCGAATATGGAAATCATTAGATGCATATGTACTTTTATTGTTCTATTTGCATTCAATTAATAAATCTGTGAGGATGTATTTCTTAACAAATAAGTTTGCCAATTCAAAACTTTTTTGCGTCTTATATCGTTTTTAAGATCCTTTTCGAGGATAAAATAACTCAAAAAGAAAACAAACATACATTAATCCACTTAATAAGAGCACGCCAGTTTATTTTAAAATGAAAAACGGTACCTATTAGATGTTAATTATTATTTTAAAAACTATCGTTTTTACAGTTAGTACAATAAAATGCTAAATGTACCTTATAATTGCTGCTCTGCATCCATGGTATCAATCCATCAATTAACTGGCCAATGTCCTGGCATGTCATCGGATTTGAAGGTTCAGCCAAAAAGGCCAATAGGTCAGCACCAAGTTGCTGTCTGAATTTGGTGTCTGATTTTGATAAATGTGGAAGGAACCCATCCAAATCCCTAGGACGGTGGTAAGCCATACTGGCGAGTTTTTTCCTCTGATAGTAATTTTATAATTAAAAAATTAGATAACAAAAATTGAAAATTCGCATCCCTATTAATTTCCACAATAAAACCTATTTACGAGTTTTTAAGTTTTTTTTTT